AGAGTGATTCTTGAGCACAACTTTGGGATGAACAGATTCCTGATTTTACAGCCAGCAAACTTGAGAATGATATCTCCTTAGTAAGCACTGTTTAGAGGCTACTTCGTTACTGTACTTAAGTAGAACCTTCAGGTATCTGTACTTTACCTGAGTATTTACTCTTATTCTCGACATTTTTGCACAAATATCATTTTTAAAACAGGCTCGTTACTCTAGACTCAACAGTATCAGCTGAAATTGAGTCGGAAAAAGTGCGTTTGTCTGTATGTTTTAGCCAGCTTGTAGCTAGTGTTACAGAAGAGGAATGAGCATAAAGGGAGTAACCTTGCTTCACAACATAATGTTTCTACAACATTTCTATCAGCTCAACAAACATCAGCAGACTCAAGCTGTTTGTGTGCCGTTGGTCTCAGTGTGTTGCTAGTTAAAGGTCCAGCTGCTGTATTTCACAAGGAGAGAAAAGAAAGAGAGCTAGCTTCACTCAGAGACGGAGAAAGATAAGAAAGTCAGGTCAGGAGAGAAAGGATAGAGATTCCTTTTAAAGCTGATCTCTGCTCTGGGACATTTAATGACCTGCAGATTTAAAGGTTACATGTCATAATTTTTAATCACATATCACATATGTGTTTTGACAAATGATCTATTTTCATTGTGTGAGCATACTAACTTTGTGTTTTTATGATATCATGTTTGCAGAATAAACAGGTTAGCTTGCATTAATGTGGTGAAATCACAGTAAAGCTCTGTGTTGGGCTGATACAGAGCAGCAGTGGTGGTCAGTGTTAGGTTACATCAAGTGTAGAGATTAATTTACATTTAAGCTGATGACGCTTAGATTCATTCACTGATTTCAATCTTTACACCAACTTTCTGTTTTCATTTAACTGTTTGTTTGTGGAAGTAAAGTCGCTTCCTGTATGTATCTGTGTGTAAGTGTGCGTCGTCCCAGCTTGTGTTAAATATGCTCATCTTTTTCCTTCACATTTTTGCACTTCTACTTTACTGAAGGGGCTTTGAATCAAAGTAGAGATCAGAACTTTGTGCCAGTTCCTGTGTTTGGATCATCTTATGAGGCTTTCCAGAACAAATGAGCAAGCTTCGTTTACCCATACCTGACTTGTTCTAAAATTTGGAGCACATTCATTGTCATCCTCTCTGTGTAATACAGTTTCCACTGGTATGGAAGACAGGATGGTTGTTGTTGTTGTGTAATTAGTTACCTGTGTTATTTTAGTGAGTGTGTCAGTGGGTGCAAGAGGAGAGAGGGACTGTATTTTGGATGATGATAGACCTATGATGAGTTTTCACCTGTTTGATGTCACCTGGGGAAAGTAATGTTTGTGTGGAGGTGTTTGCCAAGATCCTGAAACAACTATAAATTGAAGTCCACAGTATTTGTATGTGTACATACGGTTGTGCTGGATTTTACACTACTGACAAAGAATTTTCTTTTTTTGTATTGATTGATCTGTTTCTTCTGTCTCCTCTTTTGGCTCATGCTGACCTCCAGCTGGGTTCAGGAGAAGCTTTCGCCTCAGCAGGAGAGACAGAAAGACCACCAAGTCCATGTACGAGGCGAAGAAGAGTGAAATGTACGACATGGCTGACGTGCCCACGTACGAGGAAGTCGTCCCGTACCGCAGGCAAAGGGGAGACAAACACAGGCTGGTGGTGCTAGTAGGTGAGTGAAGAGAAATTTAAGTTCTCAAACTCTGATGTCGCTGCTTACCTCACACACTGTTGCTGTTAGGATACCGAATTTAATGAAAATCCTCACCTTCAATCTCATTGTCACATAGAGACGACAGAAACAATAAAGGTGGCCCAGCTCTGCAAGAGAGAAGCTGAATATTATGTTTCTCTATCATCTGTTCCTAAGAAGTGAATATGAATAACCAGAAAGTAACTTTAGATCTTTTGGATACAAATTTTCATTAGTTCATCATTTGATCCTATTAGACATTTGAATTTATATTCTCATCATTAGTGTTTGAGGTCTTGAGTTAACCTCGGCAACTCTAACCACCAAATACAGACGAAAGACAGTTTGAATGTCTCATATCATGTTATGGATGTGATAATAACGTGATGAGGAGTTTGGCTGAGTTTATAATTAGATGTTTGTATGTAGGACCCACGGGTGTCGGCTTGAGTGAACTGAAGAAGAAACTGTTGATCTCTGACCCCCAGCACTTCAGTGTGACCATTCCACGTAAGTGTCCTGTAAAAGAGACATTGGGTGTCAGTGTGACTACCTGTGTAAATAAAGGTTAAATCAAAAAAAGGGAAAAAAGATAACTTCACTCTTCTGATTTAAGCCCATGTGAATGTGTGTTTTATACTAGTTAATAGAATAGAAGTTCATTCGCTGACCATTAAATGTGGTGTTCCCAACAATCTCTTTTCTCTTTGTTTCATCCCAAAGAAACCTTTAAACATTTGTGTGCCGAAACTAAAGTTTCTGTCTTTCTTCCGTTCTGTGCTTTATCTTGAATTGAGGATGCAACATAAATGAAATAAAATAAAATGTAATAAAAACGTGGCTGTATTATTCTCACTGTTCTCACTATTTGAAATATTTCTTTACATAGAGAGATAAAAAAAACTTATAACCAAGTTTTATGACTTTATTGTCTCCCCCCAGCCAAAGTCTGACACTTGAAATGTCCCTGGTATTAAAATCCCATTGGCGTGGCCTTTTTCTCTCCACACAGCCTGTTAATTGTTCTCAAATGTGACCTGTGCTGCTGTTGTTTAATAGAGCCCAGACAGTCTGATTCAGACCCGTATAGGAAACGTATGGCACAGGTCCTGGCTGTCATTGAGAGGAAAGAGAATCGGAAAGTGTCTCGTCTCGCTCTTTTTGAATGTTTGATCGCTGCCAGTGGACACATGGATATGTTTAACACTTGCTGTTGTTTCGGGTTAAGCCCAAAAGTGTTGCTTCTTTTTGTTAATTTGAAAACCGGAGCTTTGGAGACCACCGGCTCTCTCTCTGTCTCTCTGCTTGTTGCACACAAGGAGCATTGCACTATTCATTGCAATGACTCACAGGCATCACTCCCTCTCTTTCCATCTTCATCTTCTTTCACTCAGACACCAGTCGACCCAAGAAGAACCAGGAGACCGATGGTGTGGATTACCACTTCATCTCCAAGCAGCTCTTTGAGACGGACATCCAAAACAACAAGTAAGCAAAACTGATGAATTCAATCACAACACACATTCAGACTTTATGCAGCAGAGATGAACAATTGATATTCATACTCTGGCCAAAACAAAAGTACTTTTTCCCTGGGAAAAAAAAGAGAACAACTTTTTTGGATATCCTGCTGTGTGTAGATTATATGTTTGTACGTCTCTATTTCAAACGGCCTTTCTTTAATGTTTACTACAATGGAGAGAACGATTATGAATTGTTTTGGTTTATCACCATTTCTCAAAACTCTAATCTCAGAAATCACAGTGATTGTAGAAAATTAATTATAAAAATGAAAGTTGAAAGTTGCTGTTTAAAAAAAAAAAAATCCTGCTCTTATGAGGATATATAAAAAAATCTTAAAAGCACAAATTAACATATCTAATACAGTGGAAAAAGGTTTGTTTGTTTTATGTAAACTAGTTTAAAAATGTCCTCCTGATGCTCATTTCAAGATCTATATTTTCTTTCTTGGACAATATATGCAGTTAAAAATAATCCTTGTCTCATCACAGTCTAAAAGAACCTCTTTTAGCTCAGGTACAAGGCCTGAGCTTTAACTCAGATTACAGTAATTACTCTTCTAAAAACTGACATAATTATTTGAAACTTTGTCCATGTGTCCATCCAAAGATGTGCGTTTGTGCTTTTTCTCATCACTCTTCTTTTCATGTCTCAGGTTCATTGAGCATGGCGAGTACAAAGGGAATTTCTACGGCACAAGTCTGGACTCGATACGTTCAATCCTCTCAAAGAAGAAAGTGTGCCTGCTGGATGTCCAGCCTCATGTGAGTGACACCTTCTTTCTCACCATCCCTGTATTGTATTCTTAGCCTGTTTTGGAAACTACCTGTCTCAGAAGCAGATCGCCCTGTTACTTTATTTGAAGATTTCCTCTTTGGCTTATGTCACCATAAACCTCCACAGTAATGCCATTTCTCAGTTATTGAACAACTGAGTGAATGATGGAAGCTGTTTCCCAGTGGTTCCGCTGCTGCCTCTCCATTAAGTTTTTTATCCATCTTGTTGTGAGTTGTGGGTCTTGACCCACTGCTATTAGCATAGCAAGAAGGTCAGATGATCATGCCAGAACCAGACACCAGACACCACCTCTAATCAAATCTCATCTCTCTCATACTTCTGAAGGGCCTTTCACATTGGGCGCACCTACCACGAGCTGGAGTGAGTGGCCTAAAATTTGTCTTGCAGTGGTTGTTGCGCTCTTGTACGTCGAAAACTCGATGGACCAGCTATTTCTCATCCATAAAAAAGAAAGCTTTGGCGCTGTCCCCACAAGTGAACACTTGTGTTGTTTCCTCCCAAAGTCTCAGTATGCATGTCAACTTGTGTCATGAAGTTTGTTGAACTCGGAAACACACACAATCAACTTTTCCTCCTTGTTTTCATTCATTGTGTGGTTGAACTTAGTAGGGCTGTTTGCTTCGTTTCTGTTGGTCGTGCGACGGTACGTCGCAGCAGTCAAAGTTTAACCAAGTTTAACCCAGTTAAACGTTGACCCTTGCATGGAAGAGTACTCTTACCGGCGCACTTGCTCTTTAAAACTGTTATTGAGTGGCGCAAGCAATAGAAACAAATGGGTTTCAGAGCTCTGCACTTGCCATATCCTATGTGAAAGGCCCTTGAGGTACCAGATTGGCATGTTATTTCAGAAAACTGTCACCACAAAGAAGAGACAGACACAAAGATCAGGCATAAATAAAAACATATATATCCTCCACTATCTTCCAAAAGAATTTAAAAGCTGTGATGAGTTAGTGTGAGTAATCTTTATCCCTCAGATTGGTGTTTGTGAGTCATTTTTAAATGACAAAAACTATAAACATGATTTCAAAGTTCTAGATTTACTCAGAATGATGGGAAGTCATCTGCTCTGTGGTCATTATTAATTGTTCTGTCCAACTAATAAGTCATTTATGCAAAGACTTCTTCATTCTAGAGAGGTCAATAAGTTAAAAGGTTATTTAAGATTTAATGCTTCAGCAAAACAGAAATATATTTGGTTTACAAGAGAATGGAGGAAAAGCCTCAACTTTTCATGTCTGAGGAACTTAAGGCAGAAAATGTCTTTGCTTAAAAATAGAAGGAAGATTTTAATTTTTAATATCTTCTCGATTGGAAATCAGCAGACTGAATCTGTTAAACTGGACTTTGTGACAACCCCATAATCCAGTTAATATCACTATTACAAGTGGACCATGAATTGGCAACCTTTTTTTTTACAGGATTATATTTTTAAACGTTTTGTCTATTAATTTTTTCACAGTCTGTTTATACCATACGTGACACACTTTGTGATTACGTCTTAATGTGCTGCCACATGCCTAACTCCTTTTTCTCTGCATCCACTTTTATTCTTTTCAGCTAATAAAGCATCTTCGAACAGCTGAGTTTAAACCTTTCGTTGTGTTCGTGAAGCCCCCGACCGTCGACAGACTGAGAGAGACCAGAAAGAAAACCCAAACTATATCAGGCAAAGACGACAAGGACTCCACCAAACCCTTCACGGTAAAAACTTATTCTTTAACTTCAAACTTTGAAATCTGAAGCTTAGATTTGAAGAGCTTAATACAGAGTCCTTCTGTTGACACTGACAGGGAATTACTACTGTGTAGCTAAGCATTTCTAGTGTGTGGGTTGTACATGGCTGATAGTTTATATCGTATGTTAATCAGATATTACCTCCCTGCTTAAGTTGAGATAGAAAAGCAAGAGGAAATTGTTACTGTGTAACTGTGACTTGGTCGGGTTTAAATGTATCTTTCTCTCTGTCCACACGACCTGTTTTATGTGATTTGTTCTGATGTATTTTTTGCTTGAGGTACATCGTGGTGCTTGGTTGATTCAAACAGATGTTTTCAAAGTGCAGCCTTGGGGCAAATGGCCGTTCTGAAGACCAACAAGGAACGAATACAATCCTGTACATTTCATTCAAGCACGGTTCACGTGATACTGTGAAATAAAAATATTTCTCTTCAGTTTCAACAGCCCTATTTGAGCTAATATAGCAGTTAAACCTTCCTAAAGTTGTCAAATCAAGCATAGCATTACTTCAGGCAGGACATGCAGTCAAATTAAGCTGCAATTCCAGCAGATTAGCTGATCTTAATTCCACATCAGTTGATGACTCCACTGATACATTTCTAGTCATAGCTCTATCAACTCTATACTGACACCAGAATGGACCATAGAGAAATTACAAACTGGTACAAATTAATTTCCCGAACACAACCCCATAAAAATTAAAAGCCTGGTAGTCAGACCCGATCTGAAATGACCTGAAAATAAGCAGTCTCTGGCAATTATATTACGATGAACTACAAGTCACACACATGCAATCTGCAGTGATACAGTCACAGGACTTTAGTTGACCTCTGTAGAACAACTGGCAATATTTCAGGGCTTCTGGTATAGGCAGCAGACATCTGAGCCAAAGGGGTCATTGTTTAGGAATTTAGAAAACTTTTGAAAGCTAATAAAAAGCTAATTTGTCATCAGTCGATAGCCAGTGGTTTCATTTCCACATGTGTTGATTTACCTTTAACTCACATGTCAAATCAAAAGGTCAAACATTACTCTGTTTAAAAAAGTTACAACACATATGCCCAGAGCTGATAGTTAGTCAAGTCATATTCACACAAAATATAATAGGATCCGACTTATTGAGGCATAATTTAGTGCATTTATGGGTAATAAGTGTTGAGGAAAATGCTAGAGTACAATACACTTTCACCTAGAACATGCAGCGAATTTATGGTTGAAGGTCAGCTTGTTAAACCTTGATACAGACACAGCATCAGCTTATATTATTCACACAGGTAAACATAATTCTGTCTCAGTCCGCTCCTTATTTCCCAGCTGGGTCTTGAGAACAATAAGCTTTAGTTGTCAGAAGCAATCTGGTTGTGAACAGTCTGTTGCAGTTTTAACGTCCCTTTATTATCTTCTGTTATTCTCTCATGTAATACAAATATACTTCTATAAAGCTGTGTGACAGCGGGCTGTATTTCAACCAGGTAACAAACAAAGTCTCTGTGTAAATGTTCATGTACACTGACAGAACCAAACCCATCTCGTATTTACTATTAAATGAAGGGAAGCTGTTGTTGGGCAAGTCGTCCCAGACATTTTCAATCCACCGCCAGCTGTATTTTTCTTTGCAAGAGACAGGTCTGCTTTAATGATAAAGGCCGAGGAACAGTCGTCTCATTGTTTCAGTCGAGCTGGCTGGAAGCGTGATGTGAATACAAGCAAAACAATCTGATGTAATACAAAATCCCAGCTGTAATGTGGTTAGCATAGAAACTGGCACCCAATCTGAAAGAGCCACAGGCATTTCAAAGTGATTTGAGGAAATCTCTTTGGTTTCTGACACTTTTTTAAAACGCAAAGACAGGTGGGTTTTATTGGCACAACAAAGCAGGTGTCCAGCAGAGAACGTGGTTGCTTGTAAAAGAGGATACTGAGGCTGACACGTGCTGCTTCATGCCACTGAAATGCGTAAAGATTTATAGTCCTGTAAGGTAAAAGCAACAAATGTATAAAGGCTACAAATAAAAGAATTACAATAAAAACAGAGGGAACGTTCACCTAAACTGTGACTCAGTATTTTGTTGCTGTGCAATGAAATTTATCTATGCTGTTACAAAGTACTTAAACAGGCACAAGATGCTACATAACTTCTTGTGGAAATTAGGCCACCTAGTGGAAATAAACGAGTCCCGGGTGTGCTTTTTCTCAAGTTTGGTCCCCCAGAAGAGGCATCATCCTAAACCAATCTTTTCTTTTTAAGTTCTCTGATTTTCTATTCATCTTCCAAACCCAGCTTGCTGTTCCTTAAACGGCTTCCTGCTCAGATTAATGTTCTTTTTACCTGGTAGACAGCTGGGCAGACAAAAACACAGCTAATCCATTATGAAGCAGAAACCACCAGAAACATTCTGAAGGAACTGCTGGCAAAAGTCCCTGTAAGAGACAGCTTCATCATGACAACATGTAAAAGCAAAGCTGTCAATTCATCCGTGGATCTATGTCCCTCCCCTCATCTATGGTCATGAACTTTGGGTAGTGATCGAAAGAACAAGATCACAGATACAAGCAGTGAAAATGAGCTAAAGTCCAATTTAAAGTTAAGTGTTCCCAGTAAAAACACAGCACCCTAACCTACCAAGAGATACCTGGGCTCATTTAGAAAGGCAGTATTTACTTGAATGATAAATGATAAAATAAGTTCTCCAAAAGTTGATTCTGTTCATCTGGACGTAGCGTTCTCAGTGGGAGAAACGTTTCATCAGTCACTTGGATGACTGACGAAAGAGATTTTAATCGTTTTGTGTTTTTAACTTCCATCTCTTTTGTCTCTTCCCTCTTTTCCCAGGAGGAAGACTTTCAGGAGATGGTGAACACGGCCCAGACAATGGAGACTCAGTACAGCCATCTCTTTGAGATGGTTATAGTCAACGACAACCTCGATGTTGCCTTCAGCGAGCTGCAGTTGGCACTAAAGAAAGTGGAGACAGAGACACACTGGATTCCAGTCAGCTGGACTCACTCCTGAGAGACATACTGACTGTAAAAGGAGAAAAGGGAAGCGCTTTGACAAAAATATGCAGGTTTTCTATCTTTTAAAAAAAATATTTGCCAGGGACGGTGTTGGGAAGTAAATCAGGAATAAAACAGTGCCTGGCTGCTGTGTCGCCATACCTGAACTGCATCGAGCTAAAAATAAGCTTCTGCCTGGGATCAGGTTGGATTTAGACCTCAGCTGTGGTCTGGAAGCTCCAGGTCTGACCAGATGTGATCGGGTTGTGGCTGCAGGCTTCTTTCCGGAATCTAAGACTTTGACATTGATCAGGGTCTCAGTCTGGGTCACACATCCATGGCCACAACTTGGAGCGCCTTGGTCCAAACCGGAACGTGGAGCGAGCTTGGAGCATCGTAGCACCAGCAGTCCTGCCAGCACATCAGTAAACCGGCCAAACAGGACTCCTTTAGTGGTTTTATAACATTAGACCATTAGAAACCAAAGGGATTGATGTATTTCTTCTTCGTGGACAACTTACATGTGTTTGTCTGTAAAAGAGCACAGCACCAGGGAAAAGAGGAGAAAGGAAAACATACTTGCCTTCTGTCTTACTAGACTTTTGTACATCTAAAATCTTCCATGACTGTTATTCCAAGCAAAACACTGTCAGGTACACTTTTGAGAAAGGGCAATAAGTGTAATTTTATTTAAAAGAAATTAATATATTTTCTAATATCTGCTTGTAGTCCTTTTTATGCATTTTATATACATTTATGACTTTAATATGATCTTAGCTGTAGCCATCTCTGTGACAGCCTCTTTTTACTAGAAGCATTTTTTTCTCTCAATCTAGCATTTTTTTGTTCGTCACCCTAGTTTAGTTTTTTGGCTCTGTCAGCTCTACTTGGCTCTATTTGGCTCTATTATCAGCACTGCTACAATTCTCCTAGCTCCAGATTTTGCTCTCTTGTTGATTCTGGGACAAGCTGACCTCCTTTAAATTAAGGGGAGACTATAATTCCAGCTACATTTTTATTCACCAGAATTCACACAAAAACAATCCATATTTTATTTATTTATGCTTTGGGCTGTTGTTTTGGGCTGTTTTTTAACTTCCTGCTCCTTAAAAGTATACTTTCTTCTGATTGGTTGCCCCTCACCTAGCCTCTGCAAACAGAAACTAGTGCTCGTATGCACTGCCTCCCAGAGATGACCTTTTGCATTTTTTGCATATTTAGCAGTGTTTAATATCTGCTTAGTATATGACAAAATACAAGCCAATGGATAAGTTGTCCTTTATACATGGAGGTAGAGCGCAAGGATAGTTGGAGACTGGAAACAATTAGGAGGAGCTAGCCTATGTCTGCTAGTCTTTCTGAACTTGTGATTTTAGTACATTGTTCATCCCTATTAATAACAGTTAGTTCATATTGAATTCATCTCTTAATTTCTGTGCTTGCTCGGCTGATTGCCTCCGATCTCTAGCTGCATTTAAAACTCTAAGAGTGCTATCAGTCTTCCAAAGTCTCAGTAAAAAAAAGCATTAAGCATATTATCCAAACTGTCTAAATGATTCCTTAAACTCTATATTTATTCTTTTTTTTCTTTACTCTAAGAATACTCTCTTACTCTGCTGAATGTCCAGCTCAGGTTGTATGTTTCCAAATTGTGCATCATTTATTTCTCCCTTTCCACCAACTGTGACATATACAAACTTGATTTGTGTCCTTTTTTTTAAGTGTAAGCATGATTGGTTATACTGCTCTGATGTAATATGATTTAAATGTCTTTAACACTCTTGTCTGCCATACTTTGTCCCAACATTTTTTTGTCTTTTTGTTTATTCAGTTTTTCTACCTCCCCACCCCCCTGCTGCCCATCTTACAGATCAAAGTCACATTTGTACAGTCTCCAGAAAATACCTTTTTATGTCTCCCTGTAGTGATATACTCTTTAAGTGGCACATTGTATGAATTTACATTATTCTTGATAACTGCTGCATTTTTTATTAAAGAAAATACGACTAAACTTGTAATTGCAATGTCCCCAAATTAATTCATATATGTTGTTAGCCAAGCAAAGAGTGAACACAACTTTATGTTTACCAGCACAATCCCTACTTCTCTTTAATAAAATGTTGCATATTTTGTGAATAAAGGTAATGAACAGGTGGAGGTGGTGAAAGGGGGGGGCTCCTAAGAAGAGGATTTAGCCCCCCCCCCGCTTGATGTTCAAAAGAAATCCTGTACAGATCAAAATCAGGTTGACTTAACCCAAACATTTTGTCCCTTCCATGGTGCTCACTTTGAGAGTGGAGCAGAGCAAAGGAGAGTTAATGGTGTTGGGCAGAGAAGTGCTAGGTGGGGGAAGAGGAGGAGAAGCCACTTACTCAGTTAGTCCACACATTGCTGCTGATGTCTTTGACTCATTCCTGCTTCATAATTAGGATACTAGAGTAAAGGGGGACACAAAATGGCTGCTTTCACATACAGTAATCTGGCACTAACCCTCCACACTCCCAAGGCTGTACGCACAAGTGAATGAATGGGCAAATACGTTTTTCCCCCCCAAAAGCAATCAAGGTCAGTGGCTCATTTTTAATATGCGGAGATGTACTGGGTACTGGCAACAGCACCTCCAGGCTGTCTAAAGCTTGCACAGTGATGGGTTTAGGAGGTGCTAAGTAAGTGTATTTGACCAAATTGTCTCTTAAATTGTTAATATCACAAGTTGCTTTGCATCTTTTAAGGAAGACACTCTAGCCCTCCTGTTGTCCTCATGTCCTGTACACGCCTAGGGTCAAAAATGACCCAAACTCACTAAAAATCTAAAATCTGAAGAACCTTTACCCACTTGTCCCACACCTCTGTTATGGGAGCTATGTCTTGATGCATGTTCAGTCATCCAAGTAAGTAAATCCCCAAAAGTTCTGTTCATCTGGACGTAGCGTCTTCAGTGGGAGGAACATTTTGTCACTCCTCTAAGTGACGACTTTGAGTCTCAGCTGACTGCAGGATTTTCACAACCTTATAAACAGTACCTTTGAACAATGACTGAAACTAGCACCACTGAAAGAACAATGGGCTGTGAGGTCAGTTCCTTGATTATTAATGATTATGGAACCGACCTCAAAGCCCATTGTTCATTCAGTGGGCTAGTTTAAGGCAGCTAGTTTGTCATCACACATATTGCAGGTCTTGACTCGAGGTTATCAAACTGTATCATCCTTGAGAAAGTGTGACAAATTTTCAGTGGCATTTTGGTACTCACTGTATCTAAGAGACACACGTGGCATAGCCATAGTTATGGCTATTGCCAAGTTATGGCAATAGCCATAACTAACCAACCAACACGGACGATGATGCAGTTCTACACTGCAATCATTGAGTCCATCCTCACCTCCTCCATCACCGTGTGGTACGCTGGAGCCACTATCAGGGACAAACAGAGACTGCAGCGTG